ACCAGTAATATATTTACAAATAATTTTGGTATTGGGTACAAGCTCATTTAAATATATTTTGACTCAAATAATAGTTTCCACTCTTAGTCCTAATGGGTTGGACTCAATGACATTGCTTGGACTTGACATAAATGGGGAGGGGGGGTTTAAAATTATATAAATTGGGTATGATTTTTAAATAAAAGGTAACATCTTTCTTAAAAAAAACGAATTAAATTCTCATTCTCCGTCATTTTTGACGGGCTATCTATTAGTAATAATAAAGAGACACCGTCGCCGAAGGTGGCGTGAATTATTTAGGGGATAGGCAAAAGTTTTTGAAGCTGGTTTGCATCCAGTGAAAATCCTGTCATGTAGAAGCTGTCTACGACATATAATATTCCACTTGCTTTAATATTTTTTTAATGTATGATTTAATTTTATCAATAGTTTTATAATTATATTTTACTTTTATATAATATATTATTTAGTAATTTATGGATCTATTATTAATAATTATAATACAATTCACTTCTATCTTAAGACTTATCTCTGGTTTATATTCCATTTATTAAAAAACATTTTTGGTTCATTTTATATATTTATAAATTTATTTTCCCAAAAATCTATAAATTATGATGAAAGTTTTATAAAAAAATATCAACTTTTACATTCTTTCTTTTAAATTATTATTTAAGATATATTCATACATATTTGAGGGTCAGGGATGGGAAGATAAATAAGGGGGATATTCCTTGCCTACCCCTGGCTACGCCTATGGTCATTGGTCTGGAGATATGGTGGTGGCAGCTGGTAATATGTTCTTGAGGATGTTTGGTATCGTATAGTAGAATGATCTTTCGAGCAAACACATCATTTGAAACTGCAATGTTTAGTACACTATTGATGTTGCCAGCTTATACATGCAGCGTCTACATGAGCGGGAGGGGTAGGAACAGTTTGCATCCTTTTTGAGGGGGTAGGCTGCTTTAATGGGGGTAGGATAATTTTTTTTTTTTTGGGGGGGGGGTGGTTATCTATTAAATTTTGAGATGAAATAGGACAAAATTTATTTTGTAAAAATTAATACCTTTATTATAGAAATATTATCATACAATTATCGACCAAATCTATATATTGCAAACAATCATACACATTGTTTTTCAAATAAAACTTTCTGCTATCCTTTTTAATTTAAAAGGTTTAGATATATCAGCAGCAAGCTCATAATGCCATAATAATTAATTAATTGTAAATAATGGAGGTTTTAATTTAATTTTATTATCTAAAAAATAAATTCTTTATATTCACAAAATATCGATAGTTGGTAGTAGAGATAGATTAATTTATGTTATCCTTATAAATTCTCTGAAAAGAGTATTAATATAATTATAAAGGTGAAAATAATATAAAGAGACACCGCCACCTCTGCTGGTATGTTTCTCTATTTTTAATTTCTCCGTTTTAATTATAATGATACTCTATCAGAAAATTTAAAAAGAATAAAAATTATTTTATCTCTACCAACTATCGACATTTTCTGAATATAAAGGAGTTATTTTTTAGATAATAAATTCAATTAAAAAACCCATATTATAGCATTATGAGCTGCTGAAAATTTCTAAACTTTTTAAATTTGAAGAAAACAAGTTATATTTTGAGTTTTAAATAAATTTTATTTCTACTTTTAAAAAATCAAATAATAATAATAATCATATGTATAACAATCAACTGGTATATATAATAAAACATTTCAATAGATATTCAAATTAATACTCAATTAACATTAAAATAAATTATTTCAACTGATCACAAGTTTAAATTAACATTACAATAAATTATGTTAATTGAACACAATTAACATTTCCCTCTTCGACAAAGTATCAAATTGCTGTTTGGTGAGCGCATAAGTCTATGTTTGAGTCGCGTGAGTCCATACGTTTTCTTAGGTTTGATAAAATTGTTGTACGTTATCATTATCATAAGGAATGATTGATCAAATTTGAATATATGGAATACGGAATAAAATTTTAAATTTGGAAAAAAGAATTTGGAATAAAAATTTTGGAATATGAAATGATAAATATATAGAATTCCGTAAGAATGATAAATCAAAAAAGATTAATTATATAATATTTCTCGTTTTTTCAAATTTTGCGTTTTATATATTTTATTTTAATAATTTAAGTTGCGTTTTAATATTTTATTTTAATAATTTAAGTTACGTTTTAATATTTTATTTTAATAATTTAAGTTACGTTTTAATATTTAATAATTTAAGTTCAATAGATTAGGTAGTCATCTCAATAGATTAAGCATTGGTCATATAATAGATTAGGTAGTCATCTCAATAGATTATACATTGATCATGTCAATAGATTAGGTGGTCATCTCAATAAATTAGGCAGTCATCTCAATAGATTAGGGAGTCATCTCAATAGGTAGTTATCTCAATAGGTAGTCATCTCAATAGATTAGGTCATATAATAGATTATGTAGTCATCTCAATAGATTAGGCATTGATAATGTCAATAGATTAGGTAGTCATCTCAATAGATTAGGCAGTCATATCAATAGATTAGGTAGTCATCTCAATAGGTAGTCATCTCAATAGGTAGTCATCTCAATAGAGTTAGGCATTGGTCATATCAATAGATTAGGTAGTCATATCAATAGATAAGGTAGTCATCTCAATAGGTAGTCATCTCAATAGGTAGTCATCTCAATAGGTAGTCATCTCAATAGGTAGTCATCTCAATAGGTAGTCATCTCAATAGGTAGTCTCAATAGGTAGTCATCTCAATAGGTAGTCATCTCAATAGGTAGTCATCTCAATAGGTAGTCATCTCAATAGGTTAGGCAGTCATATCAATAGATTAGGCACTGTTTCTATCATAATTGTTTGCATTATAGTTACTGTGCCACATGGAGTTTCTTCCGCTATAGTATGAATTGTTGTTCGAAGATTGGTTATTACGAAAATTTATAGAGTTACCCTCACTTTTGTATATGTATATATCAGAATGATATTTGACTATATATTTTTTTAAAAAAAAAACAAGTCATGTCCTTCGAATTTAATTTAATTTATACTTTTTTTTAAATTATAGGCAAATTTTATATATATATTTTTTTTTTACAAAAACGTACCGAGGCACCATGAAGAGAACAAGTTGTATTTTGCTTTAAATTTAATTTAATTTCTACTTTTAAAAAATCAAATAATAATAATAATCATATGTATAACAATCAACTGGTATATATAATAAAACGTTTCAATAGATATTCAAATTAATACTCAATTAACATTAAAATAAATTATTTCAACTGATCACAAATTTAAATTAACATTACAATAAATTATGTTAATTGAACACTATTAACAAAATTATATTTGTAAGGATAGCAGAAAGTTTTATTTGGAAAATAATATCTATGATTGTTTTTAATATATATATTTGGTTAATGAATTGTATTATAATAGGTCTAAAATAAAAGTATTAACTTTTACAGCAATAAATTTTGTCCTATTTTATCTCAAAATTTAATAGATAATCCCCCAAATGTATCCTACCCCTATTAAAGCCGCCAACCCCATATCCCCCTCAAAAAATATGATACAAACTGCTCCTACCCCCCCCCCCGTTCATGTAAACGCTGGATGTAAATTAATTTTTTTTTCAATCAATTTTGCTTTCTGGGACATTGAAAATTGGAAGTTATTGATTTACTTTATAGTAAATGGAGAACAAGGTAAGGCATTAGGATCAAAAGAATTTTTAATTTGGCGTGAAAGATTGTCTTTATCAGAGGGAGATTTTAGATGAGTTCTGGTGAAGACGATTAGTTCTATCAATTTCTCTGAGTTGCTATATTTTTAAGCGAAGCAATAAGCTTAAGTAACTTTTGAATGAATTATAATATTAAAGAAAAAGTAAATTTGAATATAAAATTTGTAAGGATAATGAAAAAATTGTAAAGGCAATTGAAAGGTTTAAATATTTAGCAAATAAAGGATATATAAAGTAATTATTGACAGTATGTAACAGTGGCGTCATTGGGGAGAAGAGCGCAGGGGCTCGAGCCCCCTGAAAAATTTGAATAGCCTCCTGAAGCATAAAAATTACTCCTTTATATCCTCTTGAACTCAAAATAATTTTTTTTAATTGCTCCCTGAACGATTTCTTTTACAATTCTATTGAGTAATATATAGATTATTCCCAAAAGCCTAGAAGGGTATCTAACATATTGGTAAAACGACAAAAAATATCAAAATATTCAATTCTAACTAAAACATATGATAAGCAAATGCTTTAAATGTCGTACAATCATCTCATTGGAGATTGTGATGTTCCAGCGTATGCATTAATCCTACAACCGCTTACGTGCAATCCACGGAAGCAGGAAAAACCAATAAAATTATATCATTGGGAAAAACTGAGTGGTTCAGGAAATTATAAAGTAATCAATAAAGATTCGCGGCCAATAAAACCCAATACAAGAAAGTATGGCAACTAGCAATGACTGCCGACAGTTTATCAAGAACGGAGTATATAAATGTTCGAGATAATTAATCTCAGGTATATTGAAGATGGAAACCAGTTGATCAACCGACCGACAAGGAGATGACTCCAATAGTATATACATTAATTTCTAGAGTGTTAGGGAACAGGATTATTTTTAAGCCCATGTTAGGACAATTATATATACATTAATTATAGGTTTCGTATTATATGATTTTGTGAATATGTATTATGGTTTCAATATAAATAAATAAACAAATCAATATTATTATAGCATAATATACATTAAATATTTTATAAAAGCAAAAATTTATCCTATATGATAATTTTATTATCATACAGATTATTTAGATATATAATAGCTAGATTCAAAAACATACGTACATAACCTATATTTATTTAGTTTAATTAATATCACATAATAAGGATTCTATATGGGATTTTTTGTGGATATTTTTAGATATGTTTCGTTATTATGTCGAAAAGCCTCAATTTCATATGATTTGAAAATCAAAATTATAATGTGAATTTTTTATTCTTTTGTGCTAAATTAATCTTACAATTTTCATTTTTGTTCTTGTAGTTAATTAATTTAAATTATGAGTAATGAAGGACAATCTAATCTAAATCATAGTCCAAATAAAGGCTTTGAAAGAAGAGGAGCTCTAAGACAGAAAAATGTATTTGAAGTAAAAGGACATAAATTCATTGCCCGTTTCTTTAAACAGCCCACATTTTGTAGTCACTGCAAAGATTTTATATGGTAAATTAAAATATAATTTATATCTTAAATTGGGTGATCATAAAATTTGAAGTAAAAGGACATAAATTCATTGCCCATTTCTTTAAACAGTTCACATTTTATAGTCACTGCAAAGATTTTATATGGTAAATTTGATGTAGTTTATATCTTAAATTAGGTTAATTTTTTACAGTGTAATAATCTATTAATGTAGTTAAATTTAGTGCAGTTCATGAATTATTCTATTTTACTATGGAAAACTGACTTGTTTATATAGTTTTACTAATTTTGGTATCACCATATATTTTTGAAGGACCTGCAAAATAGGCTGAAGAAGCCTGAAGTAGCCTAAAAATAATGAATAGTTTCAAAAAATTTTGAGATGTCAACTAGAGATCTGCAAAAGTAGGCCCACCCAAACCTGCCCTGGCCAAATGGTTTTTGGGCTGGGTTGGGTCTAATATTTTTTTAAATAGGCTGGTTTGGGCCCTAGAATTTTTTTTACATATCTAATTAATCAATTTTATGTTGAATTTTTTATATAAAATAAAAATATTTTATTTTATTTATAGAAAGTAGACATCATATAACATACCTTTTATTTTGAGTAATTATAATTTTTTAAAAATAATTTGTATATTTAAATTAATTCAAGTCAGGCTAGTAAAGTCTTTTTTAAAAAATTTTTGATTCAGGCTGGGCTGGCTAAACTTTTTTAAAAATTGGAGCTCAGGCTGGGCTGGCAAAAGCTTTTTAAAAAAAATTTCAGGGTGGGCCAGGCTTGAAAAATTAGGCCCAATGCAATCACTAATGAACATTAAATATTTATTTAAGGAACTAATAAGAATTTTTTTGGATTGTGTGAGAGGGGGGAGGGTATCATATTTATTTAATATAAAGTTTGGGTTTATCAGGTTTCAGTTTATCTTATTTGAAAATGTAAAAAATTTTATTAAATTATTATTTTTTAGGCCTATTTTACACACTGCTAATATTTTATATATTTTAACAACTAAATTAAAATTTATTAATAAAATTATCAAATATTTTGCAATTACCTGGATAAAGAACAAGTTGAAATTTAAACATGACAATTATTGAAAGATAGAACTCAGGGCAATTTTAGATATATTATGATAATCTTTTATTCAACACTCTCAATATAAAAAAATTATTCAGTATCATATGTTAATTTTTATTACTAATTATTTTATATTCAAAAATATTTGTTTTTTTTATTGAATATTTATAATAGATTCTTGACTTTAGACTAGGTTTATGCATATTATTCCAATCCCCCTTATTTTTGCTCATATTTAAATGGATTGCTGGATCTGAATATCATCTTAATTGACTGAAGTTTTTTGGGAAGAATCTAATTATAAATTAATTTTTAAAACAATATCTGGTTTGTTTGTATTAAGCTCAATTATAAACTCACCAAAAATGAAGAAGAATTAAACTGGCCCAGCCAATTTTTTTAAAAAATAATTAGTTTATTTTCACCAGACCTAGATATTTTACAAATATTTTTTTAGACCTATTCTGGATTATTTTAAAATATATTATATTTTAATTTTTATAGCTAATAATTGCGATTTAAAATATATGGCCTGGCCAGGGTATTTTTTAAAAAAAAATTCAGACCCAGCCTGGCTTTATTTAAGAAAATTAAAATACGGTGCTGGGCTTAGTGCCATGTTACTAATAATATTATATTTAGCACCAGAAATTTCTATTTTCCTTCAGAATATAGAATTTTCGCACTTTATTTAGTACCTTCTTAACAGTCCAATAAAAAAAATTCTGTTTGTACCCAGTATTTCTAAAATTAAAAATATCTATGGAAATTCATTTTATTTCATCCATTATGTTTTCATTTGGAATTTTTATAATTATAAAATTAGTAATAATATTGAATTGACTAAAAAGTTTATGATATAAATATATGATTAAAAAATTAAATTTTTATATTAACAATGTGGATTATTTTAATTTAATTAATGTTTTAATATAAATATAGTTATTTTAATTTAATTAATGTTTTATAAATATAGTTTATAATTGATCGTATCATCAACAAAATATTAAATAAAGGATAATTATACAATGCAGAAATAATTATAGAATTTATATCATCAAATCTAAACAATACTAAAATTTCTTTGGAGTTTATATATTAAAAATTATAGGATTAACACAATATAAAAGCATTTATAATGGTAAAATTTAGCAATTAATTAAAACTTATATGCAAAATATAGTAAAATAAAATGTTTTTATTTGAGAAAAACAGAATTAAAAAGCAAAAATAGAAAATTGATTGATTTTTATTAAAAAAATTATTGATTTAATCTTGGTTTAAATCGTATTTTAAATCAATTTGATTTAATAATGATAACTCTAGTAGCAGGGCTCATTTATAATCACCACGATACAACTTCTATACTGGAAAATTAAAACCTTTGATAACCATGGTTAATATTTTAATTATTTGGGCGTTATAAATGTTACTTTTTTTCTTCGTTTACCATTTTATTTATATTTTTATAAAAAAAGATATAATTTTTATTTCTTATGTTTAGAATATAAAATTTGTGCTATTTTTATATCTTTTTATAATCCAAGGTCCATAATATCAATAATTTACTAAGCAACGATTAAATTTTATTAAATATGCATTAAAATTATTCCCATATTTGGCGACATTTCCCGATCAATATCTTTAACTCTCTGAGCCCCACCTGGGTCATTTTATATCAAATTAATTACTCTACAACCCGACTATCTCAGATTTTGCTAAAATTTGGTATATAATTTAATGAAGTGTTGTAATTGACGAATCCAAAATATTAGCCCTTTGACTCATTAGAACCGGAGATATAGGGTCTCAAAGTGGCTCTGCTTCGTCATTTTTCGAAAAAATGATTTTTTAAAATTGGGATAACATTAATATTAGATTCACTATATATATTAATCATGGTCATTTTATAGCCATAAATAAACTCTCCCACGTATTTTAAATAAAATCAATTTTTAATTTATAAATTTTTTTAAATTGCGGTCAAAAATTTGTAATTCATTTTTTTAAATGTTAGTATAAATTTCAGATATTTTGCAAAGAGTACCAAGAACTGTTCATATAAAAATTTTCAGTGGTAAAAAAAGTTAAATAGAAAAAATGCTTAAAATAAAAATATCATTAGATGGCGTTAATAAATTTAAATAGCTTTTAAAACTTAATTTTTAAAAATATAAGTCAATCTCCCTTTTTTTACATTCCATAATATTTTATTTGTTGAATAAAATTGAATTTTGGCACAAAATAAAATTTCCGCTAGATAGCGCAAATAATTATGATATAAAATATATTTATCAATTCCAGTTGCCAATTTTTACAAAAATTTATCGATTTTTAAAATGAATTAATTCTGTTTAAATTTGAATATCATGATATGTAAAAATCCTTTTAATATAAAAATCATTTATCAAAGAAGGGATTACGCAAAGTAAGTCGTTGGATGACGGATTTTGCCAAAATCAATATTGGCTATTATATCTGTGTTGCAAGCCGCTTAACTTTTATAAAAATATAAAGAGGAGGACATTCCAGTTTACGAGGAAAACAACACCGCTACAACTTCAAATGAATTCTTAAATTCCAGCATGGAAAGAAAATGATATTCCAATTTATAACAATGACGCACAACTCCCTACATCTTTCTTCGAATCCTTAAATTCAACGTTATTAATATTGGACAATCTTCAATTAAAAAGAGATTGAAAAGGGATATCCTAAGCAAAAGCTTGCAAGAATTTCAAAGTATAGGCGATATCCTTCAACCAGCGATGAAGATGATGGAGATAAATAATAGCAACGATTTGATAATTAAAATGTGAAAAATAGTTATCCATTCTTATCTTAAACACAGAAGTATCTATTATTAACGATATTATCTCCGAATTGAAGCATAAAAATTAAAAAGGAACTTGACGTGTTATTTTACATAATCCAAAATTCCAATATCATTCTTCGTCATAAAGGAATTCTTTCCACTCCTAATCTTAAGGCGGGTAAAACAATAGATCAAAGCACAGTAGAAGTTGTAAAAAGTTTTTATTTAAATGATGAATATAGTAGACTACTGCCCGGGAAAAAAGATTGCAATAAAATAATGCATTGAAATAATAGAAAATGAGAAAGAATTACAGTACAAAAACTATTACTTCTAAATAATTTAAAAGAAATATATTACATTTTGAAGATGCCTATCCTGATCTTAAGATAGGATTTTCACATTTGCTACTTTGCTCCCTAAAATTTTATCTTGCCAGATTCAAGTGGCAGTCATTGCCACATACATCAGAATGTAAAATTGTTACTAATTTAGCAACCTATAAGGATTGCGAGATCAAACCGAGACATCATTTTAAAAATGATTTGCAATCCTCCCCTGCCAGGCTTTTACTTTGGCGATTTCCGAGAATGCTCTGGAGATCAGTTATTATGGCGGCAATTAGAAATTTGTTTGTAACACGATATATATAATTAATGAGTTTTTTAGGTTAATGATAGTCACTACCTTAAGGTAATACCTATCAAATTTGTATTTTGTTTATTTTCATTTGGATAGGCACTACCAAATTTATTTATAAGATATATTTGAAAAATCGTGATTTTTGGAAAGCCTCTCTGGCCTAGTCGGCAAGAGCGTCGCTTACCAATCCAATGGTTATGGGTTCGAACCAGCAATGATCATTTTTTTCTTAATCTAATTTGGTGGTTCCGTCCTTGGGGGGATGATATATAGGAGGCTGGACTTGACCACGTGCGTGATTCCGTTATAATATATGTTAAATAATAAGGGTCTTATTACATTTTAATAAATTTTGGTCGGTATTTTGCAAATTTGGATGGTATTTAAAAAATTGTTATACGTTGACATAGAAGTGACTATCATTAACCATTTTTTAGCTATTTTAAATTACTTGCGCTATCTAGCGGAATTTTATGAGCCAAA